TTCAATATATATTGTAAAAAGTCCGTTACGAACTGTGCACCCTATTTAGCTGTGGGACTGCTTGTCATTCTAAAAGCATGTAAAGATCTGGAATAATCCATTTTAAAGACAGGGTAATGGCAATGGCAATAAAAAAACAAGGATTGAAAAGAATATTTCAGTTAGTGTATTGTATTATTTACACAACAAACAATAGATATATTTAGATTTGTTTTGTTGCATCTAATAATATATTTTTGATGACCTGTGTTATGGATTAAGAACTTGTAATTTTATTTGTTTTATGGGAGATTATAGCATTTCATATGCATACCAGATTGTGAAAGTGGTTTAATTTTTGATTTTGCAATGTACTGAAGAAATCCAACACGCACTGTAATTAAAAAAAACTACATTTGTGCTTGACAAAATTTGAAGTAACAACTAACTCGAAGGATGAACATGTGCATAAATGGTCAGCAATGTGCACAAGTCCAGAGGCAAAGTATGATTTATTCTGTACTGTACACTGGGACATCGTCTTTGTAAAGGTTTGCTTTCTTAAATGTTATGGCCCTGTAGAATTTGATTATCTTCATTAGTCATACAATAAAAGAAAAAAGAAATCTATCATGTTTGGTCATTTTTGTTGCTTTAATTTGCTTGATGCATATTTTTGACTTGTTTTCCAACCCTGATTCCCTGAGTAGGGAACGAGATGCTGCGTTCTGCCACAGCCCTTCATTAGACATTCCCTTTCATGGGTTCATGAGTTCATGCTTAGATGCAAACATTGTCAGCATGATTTGCAGCATGATCAGTGCATAGTGAAACTTGTGCAAGAAGTGAAATGTCCTCTGTGCTTCCGTGTCACTTCTTTGTGCTTACTTTGTCACGTTCACGTTGTGTAGTTTTTGAAGCTTCAGCTTTGGAAGTCCCGTACACTTGCATTATATGGTCTCACAGAAATGGATTATGTTTATGTTTACCTCATAATTAAAGGGGTCATGATATGCATTTTCAGATCTTATGAAGTTAGCAGTTTTTTGTAACAAAAAAGTTCAAATATTTGTAAAAAAACTTATATTTTCAATCTGTCAAAAACTCTACATTTAAGAAGGCATTAACTACTTCATCGCACTGTATCAATGCTCTTCTTTACAGCCATAAATAACAATAAAGGTGATTTGATTTGAGCATGTGTGACTTGATATGATATGAAACGTTTTGAACCTGAGTCAGAATAAAATGATAATAAAACTAACAACATAATAAAACTAACACAACTGCAACGATTGCCTCCAAAGATAAAATACTCAGCACTGCTGTATCTTTCAATACAAGATATTTAGAAAAAAATGGCATCATGTTGAGAATAGTTAAAGGAATCTATTGTGAAATGCGACAAAAAAATATGTGACCCTGGACCACAAAACCAGTCTTAAGTTCTTAAGCAATAGCCAAAAACACATCAAAATTATTGATTTTTCTTTTATGCCAAAAATCATTAGAATATTAAGTAAAGATCATGTTCCATGAAAATATTTTGTCAATTTCCTACCATAAATATATCAAAACTTCATTTTTGATTAGTAATATGTATTGCTAAGAACTTCATTTGGACAACTTTAAAGATGATTTTCTCAATATTTAGATTTTTTTGCACCCTCAGATTCCAGATTTTCAAATAGTTGTATCTCAGCCAAATATTGTCCTATGATATATTGTCCTTCAGATGATGTATAAATCTCAGTTTCGAAAAATTAAGACTGGTTTTGTGGTCCAGGGTCACATATTAAAAAAATTCTTGTTTAATCGCTCAGGCACGTCATGAAAAAAACTTCAGCCATGCATTTCTAATAGTTGATGGATATGCAGAGTTTTTGGATGTGCACTTCGTCTGCATTCAGGGACGGAACAACGTCTGACGGTCTTACCAGACAGCTTGATTTACATACACATAAGGGGCATGCCTACTTAAATCTATATATATATAATATTTAAACTAAATTCAAAGTCAAAATTCTCATTCTTTTTTATAGAGTTGATTGATTTTGTTTATCCCTAAACGTTACTTAATGCATATCACACATATACTAACGTATTTAAGGCTGTCGTTATTCATGCACAAGTTCAAATTACTTCAGAAGAATAGCTTTTATTGATTCATGATTAGTTCCTGCCTTCACTAATCATTAGTTCATGTTATTTTAAGTATCAGTGCATGATTATTCATGTACAGTCATTGTAAAGCCTTACCAGATATTTTCACTGGAAAGCAAGATTAAAATAAAGATTAAAAGAAAGTTCGCCTAGTAGTTAATAGAGTTGTCAATCCCAAACTGTCTAAAGGTCCTTTATTCTCAGTACTTACAGTTCTCTCTCTGTTATCTTCAGGGCACAGGCGATTGTAGTGTACTCTGTGAATAAGTTCATTTCAGCAAACCTTTTTTTATGGTGATGAAGTGTTAATTGGTTGAGACCCTTAGACGAGGCCTGTGGATGTGCTGTGCTCACTCTGCAAACCCTCACCTCAGGTGAAGCACAGCTTGTGCTTTCTCCAGAACAACTGAGGCATGCTTGAAGACGGTTACATAACCATGGTGCTCCTTTAGTCAAGCACTCCTGTGCCCACCTCATCTTCTCCAACCCTCCCAGACGTCCTTGCTCATGATGCAAGAGGAATCAGAGGAGAGCTGGGAGTCTGAGGGATCGTTATTACTCAGACTCCACTATTACACAAATTACAAACAGTGTAATAAAATCAATGTGCTAGTTAGTTAATGATAAGAACCTAATG